ACAGCTTGAAGGGTTTAGGCCTTAAGCTCTAAGTCTAAGTATTACGGCTGGAAGGGTTTAGGCTTTAAGCTCTAGGTCTAAGTATTACGGCTTGAAGGGTTTAGCCTTTAAGCTCTAGGTCTAAGTATTGCGGCTTGAAGGGTTCAGGCTTTAATCTCCAGGTCTAAGTATTACGGCTTGAAGGGTTTAGGCTTTAAGCTCTACGTCTAAGTATTTGGCCTTTTGCTCTACGTCTAAGTATTACGGCTTGAAGATGCTTGAAAGGTTTAGGCATCCAGGTTCAGGGGCATGGGCGGTTCAGGATTCCAGGGTTGCAGCTTGCAGGGCACAGGCTTTGCAAAATCGACAAGAAGCTTAGGGTTTCAAGGTGTGTTTCGGGGGGGGCCAAGCGGTGAAAGTTTGTGAGCCGATGGCTGCTGTCGTTGTCGAAGCGGGTCGTGGCTGGAGAATCCCACTTCGGACTCTGAACCCCGCAGCCCGCCAAAAAAAATTTCCCCGCATAACACAAAGCCCCACTGCCAAGTGGTGAAGGAAGGGAGACCCGACCCGGGGTTTATCTGATCAGGAGGTTCGTATCTTCCAATTCACCTCCGGAGAAGTGGCGCAATCACGAATCCTCGACTAAGACGCGCCTTGGCCGCTGTCGGAGCCGATGTCCGTGCCAGGTGCAGGTGCGGCCCGCGCAGCAACGGAGCCACATCCCAGATCCAGGCAAGCAATCCCCCCTCTCTCCTTCTGCATCATCGCTGCCCGTTGCTGCTGGAGTCCGCGAGCCCAGTCGACCCTCTCCTGCCGAGCAGACTGGACGAGATAAGATGTTGCACACAACTGCAGGCAAAAGTGGAGCTGGGTCCAGATCTCGTGGCGACAAGCCCCTATGCACTCCAGACATAACAGCCGAGACGCACTCACACGAGGAATGCATGTCAGCCACTGCACCGGCATCGGGGCACCAGGCCTCCAGTTTTTTCTTCAGGCAAGCCGCTCCAAAGCAAATACATTACGACATTGCCAACGGTGGGAGTGCCTCTACTAGTGACTTCCGTGTGCTAAACTTCTGTGTGCATCCAGGGAACGACACCCCCAAATGCTCCGACTTGCGGCAGGCTCCGGATACAGGATGCTTCGAAATGCGGCAGCAGGGAATGCGCCAGAGACCCGAGCGCGTATCGAAGAACATCTCGCCGGCAGCTTCCCCGCATTTTCCCTCAATCACGAACGAACGGGGCAGCAGACAAAAGCAAAACATCAAGAAAATCATTGTGCAGTCTGAAACCTGCATGCTGATAAGGAGCGCACGTCCCAGGATCTGGAGGCTTGTGGTCCGCCATCCACGCTTCTAATTACTGTGCAGCTAAAATCAGCTAGACCTGAGGAGGCAGTGAAGCTACCAACCTTGCCTACGCATGGTTTGGGGAATGCTTCGGGAAAGTGAAAGTGCATTCTGCCACGCTCTTGCCATCTCTTGCCTCCATGTCCAAGACTCTCACCCCGGAGTCTGAGCATAAAGTGAGCGGTCATCACGACACAAAACTCTAGCAGTGCAGGGGGTCTGCAAAAGGGTATGCCTGGAAAAGTCTGAAATGGGTCCGGCCCCATTCAAGACCCCTGATACGTCGACTGCCAGCAGCCACCCTTTGAAGACCCTTCCAAACTGAGGGGATACAAACACGACCAGCACAAGCTCAACCAGCACCAGCACAACAAGCTCGAGCTCAACGTCCGGTACCACTCCTGCGGCAGATCCCAGCCGCTTTACGGATTGGGTTCGCGTGCGCTCCAGCAACTCGTTCGGAAAGGGTGGCTCTCATACGGCGGGTATAATGATAGTTGTCGCATTACTGACGGAAGTCACCATTCTGTACCTATTGGCTATAAAAAGTTATTACGAATCTTATATGGTTTCCTTTACTTGTTGAGACTGGTTGTAGTCTTCATGATCTTCACACCAAGAAGCGTAGATGGATACTACCTCTACAACCGCCGCACTGGGGAATCCGTTTGGCCTCCTAATACGAAGTTGGTACTTGTGGACAGCATCTCAGCATCTTGGCTAAGCAGTTCCGAAAGATTTTGGAAGTCACAGGAAAAAACAGTTGCAATCAGAACAGCGATATCACAAAAGCAAGGCATGCGATCGTGAAAGCCACCTTGGGCGCAGATCTGCAGCACGGCATGCAGTTCCTGACGCTCGACCCTATCCACTTATCGAGGGTTTAGGGTTTAGGGTTTCGACATTGAGCTAAAACGAACGCTGAAAGTATTCATCCCGTGTTGTCAACCATACTATATTATATTTATAAGAATGAACACTAAAATAGTCTTGGTAATTATTTAGGGATTCATATTATGTTGGATCGAGCTGCCAAGGCAAGAAGTCACTGCAGCTCTTGCGAGAGCTCCTAAGCAAGCGTGGGCTGGTTTGGGTAGCACGCACCGTTTTCCCTTTTGCGTTTCCTGCCGACAAGTATCGTGCAGGCCAGCTCTTGTGAGAGCTCCCGAGCGAGTTTGGGCTAGTCTGAGTAGCTCGTTCCGTTTTCCCTTTTGCAGTCCTTTGCAATGGCACTCATTGCGAGTCACAGCCACAACAGGCTTGTGCTCAAACGACGAGGCAAGGATGCCGTGTTTACCTCCAGCTGTGCCGAGCCTGAGCCGTGATTTGGGGTTTAAGGCTTTACAGACACTCAACGCACAGTCTAATTTGATGGAGAAGCAAGAACCAGCCAGGCATGAGCTCGTGCATCAGCTCGCGAAACAGATCCACACACGGCTCGAAAGGAGAAGGCCTCTCAGGCACTACTAAGTTGTCAGGTCCAACCTGGAACAGGCCTCTCAAACACTCAGGCAATAAATTGCCAAACCCAACCTGCAAAAGGCCTCTCAGCTTCAGGCACTAAGTTAGTTGTCATAATCCAATCCGAGCCTTTTTTTAAGGGCTTGGTTTGGGACTTCTGCTGCTCGGGTTGTGGTTGTAAGGTTGAAGGTTTGGGAAGTCAGCTGCTTTGATTTTCGGGTTGGGGTTGTAAGGTTCAGACCCCAAGAGCTCAACCCCAAATCCAACACCTCAAACGCCAAACCCCGTAGTCGTTGATGTCGTCGTCGCGTAGTCGTGGTAGTAGTAGTTGCTGTCATAATAATGATGATAATAGGCTGTGGTGTGTAGACCAGTTTTAATAATTGCAAAAAGAACAGCAACACACTATACCTAAAGGTTCTTGCCACATCTAAGAGAAACCTTTGTGTGTAATGTGTTGCTCTGGGTCCGCTGGAGGAAGGTTTAGATAGTTTAGATCATTTGTCCGGGCGGGCCGGTTTAGATAGTTTAGATGGTTTGGGGGGCCGGGTGGGGAGCCCAAACCAGCTAAACCAGCTAAACCGTCTAAACCATCTAAACCAGGCGGGTTTAGATGATTTAGCTGGTTTAGCTGGTTTGGGCTAGTCCGATGGATTAGACGGTTTAGCTGGTTTCGGCTCCCCGCCCGGCCCCCCAAACCATCTAAACTATCCAAACCGGCCTGCCCGGACAAACTATTTAAACCTTCCTCCAGCGGAGCCAGAGCAACTTACACAGAAAGGCTTCCTATACATATACATATACATATACATATACATATACATATACATATACATATACATATACATATACATATACATATACATATACATATACATATACATATATATATGTATATATATATATGTATGTACATATATATATATACACATATGTATACACACATATATACATACATACATACATACATACATCCATACATACATACATACATACATACATACGTACATACATACATACATACGTACATAGGTACATACGTACATACGTACATACATACATACATACATACTTACTTACAGTTTGCATTATATATTATGCATACACGCACGTAGTACTAAGCATTCCGACCTGTATATTACAACCCTGAGCTCCCAAAGGTCTTGGCGGAGACTCGATTCTTGCTCAGTAACTTAACACACGTGACCCCAAGAGGGATGCATGGTACAACAGTGCTACATTAGCTTCGTAACATGTTGCACCCCAAAACCCCAAACCCCTAAAGCCGCAAAGTCTACAAACCCTATATAAACCCTCTTACAGACAACTTTGAGCAGGGTCCTCCAGTGCTTCAGCTTCTAGAAATGGGTGGCTGTCAAAATTAAGGCCCCTTCTTGGGCACCCTAAATATTAGGTGCCGTATTCATAATAGGGACTCAAAAAGAAACCATAATTTTGACAACCACCCAAATATAGTTCCGAGTTCATCAGATTTGGGACCTCCACCCACCCCCGGGCTCAGGGTTTCACATCCGGGCATGAATAGACCAGGCTGCTCAGGTATTCTGTACTATCATAGTATATAGGTGGTTGTCGAAATTATGGCCCCTTTTTGGTCCTTAGTATAATACAGCCATTATTTGTTTGGGGTACCCAAAAAGGGGCCCTACTTTTGACAACTATCCATATAGAGATATGGGGGATACTGCTTCCATTTATTCAGTCCCTTGCCCCTACATTGGGCTTGCGAGGGAGACTGATGCGGTTTAGAAAGCCGAACTGACACGTCACTTGGTTTAGGCTTTAGTGTTCGAGTGAAGACAGGCGCTCCATCTTATCAAATGGGAATTTTGCTCGATGCGTGAGTTTTCAATACATGCCAGAAGTCCACTGTTCCAAGAGGCTCTTCAGGTCTCTGCTTGTACATCCACATGCGAGGCAAACCGAAAGAACCAAGCACTTTGAGACTGGAGAAGCCCAGGAAGTAGCATCACAAGCACCCTGAAACACCCCAACCTGAACCCTAACATTTGTAGGACGCATTGCTCGCGAACGTTTCGAGGGCCTAAGCTCTGAAAACAGGGTTTGAGGGATTAGGGCATTTTTGTACATTTCTACATCAGCAGGGAAAGGTCTCACAACCAGGTGGTGCTTCCTCGGCAGTGTAATGCAGGGTGTAGGATTTCGGGTGCATCGAGCTCCCGGCTTTGGTGTAAAAGGAGGAGGCTCTTTCGGCCTTCTGATGACCTCCGAGCGATGGCTTTGGTTTAGGGCTTTGCGTTTTGTGTTTTGGGATGAGGACGTGGGGTTTACTGCGGGTTTTGGGGCTCTGGCTTTCTGGCCTACAGGGCTTGGGGTTTGCTGCTTAGGGTTTAGATGGACTGAGGGTTTTAGGTAAGTACGGACTGTCTGGTTCTTAGTAGGGAATGGGGGAATGGATCCCTAAAGTAGCCCCTACTAGATAATCCGCAACAACAGTCCGAATAATCCATTCCCCCATTTCCTACTAAGAACCAGGAAGAGAAGGGAGTTCGCGGGAGCTCTCTGCACGATATGCAGGTGCCGTTGAACGCACGAGCAGGAGGAAAGCCCCACCTTTTCACAAACCTCAGCGCCCTACGAACTACAAACGGGCAGCTGTTGAGTTCTTTCGGGGGGGGCCCCGACGCGACTTGACTACAAGTAGCTGTCATGGTTTAAGGTTTTCGGGCTTGGGGGGTCGGGGATTGGGGCTTGAAGTTTCTGAACTTTGGGTTTCAGGCGTCAGAAACAGGGGTCGTGGGATCAGGGCTTAGGTTGTGTGTTTTGGGGTCTCAGGCTTAGCGTGTAGGGCTTAAGGCTTACATCCCCGACTGTGGCATGGGCATTCCGCCCTTAGCCATGCTTAAACTCACTCCTTTGTGGATTCGAGCCTTGGTGATCCCAAGCCTTACCTTTGGTCAGTGGTGAATGGGGAAATTGGGTACAATTATAACTACTGTTACTACCATTCTTCCAATCTCTACTATCCAAAGGTAAGAAGCACAAGCATCATTATTATGGTTGCCAGAAGAAATAAATTGGCAAAGGATGTGGGGCGTATCAGCCTGTAGCCATAGGGAACAAAACAAAGAGTTAATGCCGCTAGTGTTTGCAGAAAGGCTTGGGGTCGCGACTTCGTAGCTCTAGCTCACGATTGAGAACCGCACGAGGCTACAGGAAGCATCAGAACAAATAATTGGTAGCTGTGCCCCAAGGTGGGCCTCAACAAACCGTAAACCCTAAATCTCGCAAGAATGAAGCGAAAACCGCTCATGTGACCGTTGGGTTTGACACTCGCCCCAGAAACCCGATCTCAGGAAGCGGCCTTCTTGAACCTAGCTTTGCGTAGCTTCCCAAAGCAAGAGTAATCTTTGTCCTACTGTAGACATTCTTGCCGCGGATCGTAACAACTAACCCGAAAATCCGGAAAAGTGAAGCCTAAACTTTGAACTCTCAAACCTGCACCCTCAATCCTCTGCGACGGTACATCACTGAGATCGTGGCTCTGAAAAACACGGCCCATGTGGAAGTACGAGGGCGCTGAGCGGATGTTTTCCTCAAGAGCTTGGACTTATGGGGTAGGTCTAGCCTGTTACGCAGCAACAGGGGGCTAGGCCCCAGGGTGCGGGGATCAGAAGCTTCGTGCCAACCACTGTTGGGGCCTGAAGAAACGTTTCAAGCCTTGGAGTACAACTAGCACTGATCTCTTGCCACCTTTTGAGGCTCTGGTGCGCTTACATCCTGAAGCTGCTGTCTCGGCAAGCCCTGCGCTGCCGTCCGCCAGGTATCGACCCCGGCATATTCGTTGCACCTATATCCATCCATATCCTGAAACCCAAAACGAAAACTGAAATCCTAACCAAGCCTTACCTCCCAAATCCTAGACTCCACTTCCCCCCAACCCTTGGCCCTAGACCCTGCCCTAAACCCTACTTCCTAAACCCCTCCTAAGCCCGCAGCAGATCTCTTGTGGTTGCCCCCACAAAAACCTTGGCCCTAAAGAGCCCCGTAAACCCTACTTCCTGAACCTCTAAACCAAGCCTAATCCCGCAACAGATCTCCTGTGGTTGCCCCCACAAAATCGCCTAGATCCTTGCTGCTGAGGCTCTGGACCAAACTCCAGGGATGAGTAGTAGATATCCTGTCTTATTATGAATGAAGGTTCGGGTCTAGTTTGGGGTTTAGGGAGGAGGATAGGATTAGGGATAAGAGGTACGCTTAGGGTGAGGGATTTGGGTTTATGGATGAGAGGAAAAGCACTCTCTTTGTCACTCTTGCGGAGGCTGCAAACTTGCATCGTGCTCTGTTGCCTCAGAGACATGATGAAACCCTGAACCCTAAACTCTACTGTAACGATGACGCTGATGAGCCTGTTCTTCTGGCATCTGCTACTCTTGTCACTTCTTGGCAGGCGTAAGCACTAACTACGTCAACGCCTGCGAGTTATGATGATCAAGCTTTAGCAACCTTAGCATGCATGCTTTCTGCAGAGGTCCTCCTTGTCAGAATCTGAATCCGCAAATCATTGGGAGTTCTAATTTCTCATCCCGAGATCGCTCGCGAATCGTCAGTAAGCCGAACTTGGTCGCGCGAGTGAATGCCAGGTACGTCAGGAACTCAAACACCAAGTCCGAAAACCCCGAAGACCTTGTGCAATAGATAGGTCCTACTACCAAGACATCTTTCCTTCATGCAGACCTCTACCAGACCCAAGAAACTTGGAGAAAACCGCGCCCAAATCCACGGCTACAGCACAGGTTGTTGCGAAGCAGGCCAGCCGAACCGTGGCAAAAGCTTGTAGAGCCTGCTCACAGCGATCACTTCGGTCAAGGGTGTCGGCGGTTTGGGACTTAAGCCAAGGGGCCTGAGTCACAGCAATCATGGTATCTCAAACAGTTTAATATCCGCAAACAGTTCCGGTTCTAAACAAAGAACCCAAAACCTTCCATATGCCGGATTGCGTAGTTCGGGGTACAATTTTTGGGCCCCGATTGTGCATAAAAGTTGAACTCGCTTCCGTCGTACCGAGAGCTTAATTTCGGATGTACTTTCGCGAACTGGAGTTCCTCTTTCAAGAAGGACCATGGTAGCAGCACACGTAGGGTGCCCTCGTTGTTCGTGCATGTCACGCACCTACTAATTCCACACCGTAGGGCTATGACAAGGAGTCTTGTCCTAACCACTTAGGTACTGGATCCCATGAACCTTGAACAGTAGCTTAGCTTCATGCACTCGACGGCCTAAACCCTAGGATTCTCGAATTGCCATCAGTATGTCTTAGGGTTTTGCGTCCTTCAGGGTGCCGCGGTTGATGCTGAAAGCTCGTGAACCATTCTATCTGGAAACACCGCGCAGCAGCCCCAAGCCGCTGGTAAACATCCCCACGATTTAGGGTTTAGGGTTTAGGGTTCAGGGTTTACGGTGGATGACGGACGTAGTCGGAGATCTAAATAGGGTTGCAAATACCTTGTTGGGATTTACTTCAGGCTTTACCCCTAAACGCTAAGCCCTTAACCCTTACCCATAGGCTCCCTAGTAGTTCCTGTTGCTGTAGGGTCCAGTCCCTACTTTTGGCAGGTGCACAAATCGAGAAGTGTACCGCAGGTGCACAAATCGAGAAGTGTACCGCATCTTGTCTGGCAGGTGCATGACCCCTGCTAAGGATGACACGCACAAATCCGAATGGCTCAAGCACGAGCCCTATGAAGGGCGCAGCGAGGTGGGTGCGAAAAGCACCTTGGGGCGTTGGGGTTTGGGTTGCTTGTTTGAGGGTCCTTGTAGTGCCTTGCTATCTTGCATGCTACTCGATGTACTATGGAGAAGTATGATCATCTAGATGACTTACCTATGCAGATTAGAAGGCATCATGCAAGTCCTACTCCTAGTCACTATTCTATTGTTACGAACAGCCCTTCCCCTGAACCAAACACCAGAAATCAACAGGTTATGAGTCCAAACCCCCTCGAAACTACGCATGACACTGCATCATCAACAACAGCATCTGCACCAGTCACTTTGCAAGCAGCGGCAGAACAGCAGCAGCTTGGAGGGCAGGTGACGCTTCAACAGATGACTCGCATTAGCATACCTGCTGAAACGCTGCGAGCCTTTGGAACGAGTATTGGTGAGGATTTGAGTTTTGCGGCTGACATCCAGGCTGCGGTCACAGAGCTTTCTTCTCGCATCCAGTACCGTACTGAAGTTCTCGCAGGGGCAGTGGGAGCTATTGGGGGATCAGTTGGAGAGTTGCAAGCAGGCTGTCAAGTGCTAACTGCTAGCCTGGATCAGCTTCGGGACGCGGTGGTTAGACAACAAGCTGCAGTGCAATCCCTGGTGGAAGGCCGGGAGAGTGATCGTCGTGATGCGCGCACACAGATTGAGGCGATCAAACATGACCTTAGGAGCTACCTAGAAGAACGAGGTGCAGAGGAGCAGCAGGTCAAGAACAAGCTAGACGAATCCTTGCAGAGAGAGGCGAGCTTACTGGCGAAGGTAGAAGCCCTATCTGGTAGAGTTGCTGAGCTGGATGAGTCTGTGAAATACACTCTGATGAGCATGCAAGAGCATAAGCGCAGATTGGATGCCCAAGAGCGTGAGATTTATGCACCCTTGAAGGGTGAACCCGGGGATCAAGCTTCACTGGCACGAGCGGTGCAAGTCTTGGCTGAAAAGGTCGATCGGGAGCTTGCTGTGTTGACTACGCAGCAGCGTGAACAAGGTGAGGGCCTACACAACAGTTTGGAGCAATTTCGAGCTGATGTGTTACCCAAGGTCCAGACCGAAATAGACAGGCTCGATGAGAGAGTGAGCGCTATCGAGGAAGGCCCTGACAAGTTGGAGGAAGTTCAGCTAGAGGGTACAACTTCGAAGGACTTTCATCGGGATACACAGTCATCTCAATTGCATCCGATGCCTGCACAGAACAATCGCGAGCCGGTGCATTTTGAGCTGACGCCCAACGCTGATCAAGCACCTAGCTTTGGGGTTCAAGATGCCTCTTCCACTTGGTGGGATCAGACCGGAGACGAGCCAGAGCTTTGGAGCACGTGGGAACGTGGAAGAACAGAGGTTGATCCTCTCAATCCGTGGGGTCTCACTGCTCCTCCACCTGGTCTCGGATCCAGGAGGAGAACATCCCCAGGAAGGTCACCGAGTCCTGGCGCAAGGCCTGGAAATCGGAAGTCGGCACCCGAGATTCCGAACGGAAAGTGGAAATGTTTGACGGATCTTCCAAAGTATCATCAAGAACCAGGGGAACCCTGGGAGCTGGGATTGGGTTTCACAACATGGAAACGACAAATCTTGGCGGTTTGCACGACGGTTGCACCGGAGTTTGCAACCTTCGTTGAGGATCGATTTCACTTGGCACACCAGAGACATGAGAGCCGGATGTCAGGAGCTCCTATGGCTGAGGCCCCAAAGCTTGAAGCATGCTTTGAGACATATGAGGCTCGATTGGTGGTTAGCTTGATGCGGATTCTTCCAGCAGAGGTCAAAGACAGTGCAGTTGAAGACGCAGAGAACAAGATTACATCGCTGTCATTGTTAGAGGAGTTGGTACATCAAGTTCAACCTGGAGGCCAAGAAGAAGTTGCAAGTTTGTTGCGATACATGCGCAACCTTGACCCAGCACAATCAGCTAGAGATGCTTTAGAGAGTATCCGTAGGTGGAAGCTAGCCAGATTGCGCGCAGCAGCTCTGAATCTTCCCAACACAGCCCCGTCTGAAGCGATGAGAGCTCTATGTACGCTAGTAAAGCACATTGAGAAGCGAAGCGATTCACTACGTACCAGGATGAGTCTCATCAAGCTGTCTCCGGACATCCAGCGTCCCACGGAACTAGGAGTTCAGATGATCCTCGAAACTTTGGATAAGGAATTGCGTCAGCTTGCAGCCGACGAACAGCTGAAGGCAAACAAGAATGAGCAACAGTCTTCGGTGATATCCAAGGGCAAAGGAAAGGACAAAGGAGGCAAAGGCAAGGACAAAGGAGGCAAGGGAAAGGAGAAAGGAAAGAGCAGCGCAAATCAGGGCAAAGGAGCAGGAGAATCGCAACCCAAGGAGCCAAACATCGATGCGAGGAAGGACAAGCCTTGCAAGTGGTTTTGGGGTGAAGCCGGATGCTATCGGAAGAACTGTCCTTTCTCCCATGACGAGAAACATAAGCCTAAGCCCAAGGCTGCAGCAGCACCTAATGCCACAGCATTGGTTGGAGCAAATGATGATGAAGGACAAAAGGGTAAACCCAAGGCTAAACCAAAGGCCAAGGCCAAAGCATCAGCAGTGACTTCCATGATCATGATGGCACAAAGCAATCCGGTGAGTGACTTCAGTTCTCTTCTAGCGATGAGGATAGCTTAGACTTGGAGGCACTGTCAAATGCCGGGACGGTTGCTTCGACTGATAGCACTCAGAGTCTTTTGTCAAGTGAGCATGATCTAGTTGACGAGCTTGCGGATGCTATGCGGGACGCAAGATTGTACCGAGAAGAGCGGGATCAGCTTTGGCGTTTGCACTTGAATCCGAGGGAGTTCAACACATGGGCTCAGCATTGGGAGCGCGGTGAAGTCATCATGAGCTCTAGGCCTTTTGTGCAAGTCACGGAGGGTAGGGATGTTGCAGTAGGAGTTGCGTGGGCTTTGGAGCGAGCGGAACGAATGCCGGTTCGAGATCTGCTCATTGGGGAAGCGCAGAGTATCGCAGTTGCTTATGATGTTTTGCTGATGTGTGATGATGATGTTGCCAGAAAGGGTTTTGTGGCCTGGCTCGTTGATGAAGATGATCATAATGAGCTTTTCTTGGCTATCGTTGAGGCCCCTCAGCCTCCACGCGTCAGGACCACAGGACCTAGCGTAGCATCAGCTCCATCTGCTGGAGCCCCTCAGTTTGAGCATACAGCGCACGGCCATCATGACACATTGGTTGAAGCAGCTGCCGCCGACATCACACATGTGTTGCGCATGCCCTTGCAGCAACTGCTAAGCCTTGTGGATTTCTCTGAGGGTTGGACCATCTTTGACACGTATGGAGTAGAGATTCTGCATGACTTGATGTATCTCCATGTAGAAGAGTTCGCCACAGTCCCCGAGCCAGCCAGACGACGGCTCCTCCATCTGCGAGCAAGAATCCTTGAGTTCGAACATAGGTCACAAGCGCAAAAGGTGTGTGCTGTTGGTAATCTGGGTGACGGGTCTAATGTTCTTTTGGATACTGGTGCAAACGAAGTCCTCCGAAAGGCTGCTAAGGCTCCACCTAGATCCATGCCCCTGGAATTGTTGTTAGCCGACAGTCAGACCATTGAGGCCTCGAGAACCAGGGATGGTGAAGTTATCATTCCAGGAACGGGTCCCGAGGTCATTGCGGGAGTGTGTAGGCTGACAGCTGTTGGATGCAAGTTCGTGTGGAGTGACGAAGGTGCTTGGTTGCAGCTGCCGAAGGATTCTGCTTTCATAGGTGAGTGGGTTCAATTGGAAATTCACGGTGGTTTGCCTTACCTCGACAGGGGTACCTTCATGCGCTTGCGTCCGTTGTTGTCAAAGTGGTGGAAGCAGCATCGAGTGCCGTATGACGCCACGGTGTCCACGGTAGAGGCTGGAGCGTGTGAAGGGGTTGCGCAGGAGACGCTTAAGGACCTGGTGGCAACCACAGTGGCTGCAGTTCACGCCGATACGGCTCAGGAGGAGCCACAAGTCAGCACGCACGAAGCATTGATCCGGGATGAAGAAGCAGCGGGAGCGCTGTTACAGAAGGGGCCGAAGGCATGGACACATGCCAACATCATGCAGCTTCTTCGGAGTAGTAGCT